TATACAGTACTTTGTAACATGGAGGTATATACCTCCGTGGTTGTAAATATGGTTCAAGGATTTCTACAGCTGTTGTTCTTAGAAAAAAAATATTCCAGGAAAAGGAGTGTATAACAGTTCAAATGGCTGTTTAATCCAATATACTATAATGTTGGCCTAGATGGATAAGGAAATAATTACAAAAACAAAAAAAAACAAAAAAAACAAAAAAAAACCCATACGTGGCACTTTAGTAGCATCAGTTTAATTTTAGATTGATATTTTAATAAGGATACTGTACACATCATTGGCAGATCTACACTGTAGATAAAAATATGGATTGGGAGCCATGCGAAACACAAAGCACTCGAGCAGAGGGTGGGGTTGGGGGCCTGGTATTTGAGATTTTATTTAGAAATGCTACCATATGGTATGGAGTACATGGAATTTTATAATCAAAAATTGGTTTGTGTTTGTGTGATGTGCTCCCCTTTTCTCCTTTCCTTTCTTTATTTCTCTCTTTTACCCTCTTTTTCTTTTTAGGAGGGCCCTGTCCCCTGTGGCCTCCCAGGATCTGCCCCTGCTCATGTTTCTCTGAATTTCAGTAATTAAAATTAACAGTAAATTCTGTAGCTAAAATATTATTTTAGTTCACTGTAGTCAAAATATGTGATATAAATTTTGATTATCACAGAGCACCAACTGCGAGGAAGAATTAACCAAGTCATGCTTTTTGAAATCGACTTTTCTGCTCCGAGTCTGTTACAGCCTGTATGTTAGTTATTCTTCCTAACCATGATTAACTTGGTTTGAATTTTACATAGGAGAATAATGTCCTAGAAGTTTACACTAAAAATTTTTTTATAAAACTGTACTGTACACATGGTTAATTTGGCCAAAAAATTGTACAATCCCAACCAAGCCTATAGATTCGTCTTCTAAAACGAAACCTTGTATAGTGTCATTAGGCAATTAGTCAAACTCTCCCCTAGCTTTATGACATCCAAATTATATTCTGATAAATCATCTCAGATTTAACATTGCTAAATATTTAAGTGTAAAATTGTACACAATATGTTGTCAATTATTGAATGCTAAAGTAGATCATATTTCTCTATTGTAGCTCATTTCTATTAGTATCACTCAACTGATACTATGCCACCCCACACACTGAGCCAAGCTACAGCTGTTTAAACAACGTTGTATGTTTCAGGCAGTTTTAATTGCCAATGTTGCCCAGAGTTTCCGATCTGTTTGGGCCACAGTTAGGGAACAATAATAATGGGGAGATATTTTGATAATAATAAAGGTTTACTATGTATGTTTTCAAGATTCAATTCATATAATATTTTGAATTTGAAAGAGTAACAATAATGACCTTATTATCGTGTTTTTATATTTACATACAGTAATCAGCACTTAATGTAAGTGACCGAAATTTCTATTGCTTGGCAACAGGAATAAGGCATTCCTTGGGAGCTGACCTAAAATATTGTACATTAAATAAAAGTTACATATTTAAATGTTGCAAGTCACATTAATACACTAGCATGATACACAGTATTCAACTAGTATGATACTGTATGCCATGGTAGAGTGACCACAATTGGTTTTGACCCCAGGGAAAAAGTGGTACCTTGAGAGATTATTTAATAAAGCTGATCTAAAAATAAATATTTTATATTAGTTTAGTCATTAAGTGAACACATTATTATAATAATTTTGTGACATTAATATAACCTTAATATTTCACCGCGGCTTTAAGGCTTTAAGTAGGTACATGAATCGTAATTGTTGAATCCTATTTAAAAAAAATTTTTTCAAGAAAGATAATATCTCTACATACTGTATGCAAGTTTTTTCTTCCTTATACATTATCATAAAAATTCTTTGTCTTCAATTCCAAGCATGTTCAAGAACTATACAGCAACAGGGCCTTTTCTGTTGCTGCACCAAATTTGTGGAATTCATTACTTTCAGATCTTCATGGGGCTTCCTAACATAGTATGAAGAAATCGAAGACCTATCTCTTCAATAATACTTTTAAAGTTAATTCAATATTTATGTTTTCAGTTAATTTTTTCCCCACTGACAGTTACAATTCTTACTTCGGCACTGTCAAGGCTTATCCTCAGTAGAAGCACCAATTAAAGAACATAATTTAATACTGACACCGAGGTACCTGCATGTACAAAGTGATGGCGCCGGCATCTCAAAATCCGTGGTGTGCACCTTCGTCCTTTCCCTTGCATTCGTGTCTGTTCATAAGTTCATTTTTTGTAGTTTTTTTAGTAGTTGTAAAGTACGGTTTTATTGTGGAAGGCACTAAAAAATACAACCACCATTTAACCATTGACCACAATAGCAACATTATACAATTACAGTAGGTCTAACCTTTAAAAAAAAACAAACCCTAATTGGGAAAATTCATACAATTTTAGCTGTATAATTTGTATTCATTAGAGCGACTACAGCAGACAATGTGCATTATTCTTTTATTATAAACTCATGGGGCAGAAATGTATTATAAAAATGTTCACTGCATTTGCTGCTGCCCCTAAATACCATAATTCCAAACTTGCATAGTAAAAGTGGGTGATCGTTCTTTATCTGCTCTCCACTTTCTTCTTTTATCAATTTAAATTTACTAAACTACAGTATATAAAATTCTGTTTTGTGGAGAGTAAAGGTCAGTGGCTATTGTTACACCACTATAAACGAATTCCTAATTGTGATTGTATGTTATTGTCCTAATAATTGAATCCATACAGGAATTTGCTTAAGACTGGTGTATAACAATAATCACAAGATTCAAGATTGCTTTATTATCATACCACCAAACATGTGATGAATTAAAGTTCTTTTTGCTTGCTTTAGATATGGAATACAGTAAAAGGAAAATAAACATTGAGAAAACAACAGATGGATACCATACGAAAATTAATGTACTTTATCTACTGAAGTTATAAGTGATGAACAGATTTAAAGGGTTTTTTTGTGTTTCACTGCCTAAAAAGTATATTTATTGTTAGTAAGTCCCTGTAGTTGTCTAAGTTCTGTAAGCTATGAATCGGCTCAAGTAGTTAAAATACTAAGTTTCAGAATCTACAGTATTTTGGTTTAAGCTGTCAGTAAACACCTGTTGTTCATGATTATTAGTCATTCATAATACAGAATATTAATACAGGCATTTGGTAATAATTTAGCATATTCTACAGTATTTCATAATATACCATCGTTTTCTTTATTCACATTTTATGGAACTGTGTCCTGGAATATTAATTGTTGCTTGCATTTCAATTCCAGTGCATGGGTTCTCATCTTTTCAACTATCAATTTTTTGATAATTTTTTTATAATAAAAAAAACATAATTTGATAATGCATAAAAAAATGGACTGTGTAAGAAAACATTAGCTTGTTGATACTGAACAGGCTCACCAATATGCATAAAAAAAGGAAGTATGATCAGTAATGTGCAGGATAATTCCAGCATTCAATGAGTTTAATTCAGTGGCAGATATAGGAATTCAAAATAGAGGGGCCCGGAAAGGTACTTTCACAGATGGGATCTACTACTTCAGCCCCACCATGTTTCGGGGCTGATGTAAGAAAATTTGTGATTATGGCACCTTTAGATGGCCGGAAATTGCACTCTCAAACTTAAAATTTGAATATAATTTTATTTATATATTCATTAAAAAAAATATTGAACAGTCTCTTATACACATCTAGATGCGTATAAGAGACAGCCCACACACACACACACACAACCTGCCACTGCAATTAATAATATTTTTCAGGATTTTGAACTGTAAATCTGGTTAAAGGTTTTATTTTGTTTAAATCCTTTTTATATAGTTAATTACTTTTGTGATTCTTTAATATTAACATTTCACCGCATAAAAGTTCAAAAGTGCTGTATAAATCTATGATCATGCTGATTCATTTAAGCCGAGAACATGCTTACAATTTTTTTTTAAAAAGTTGTTCTTGACATTCATTGAATTTTGAATGTTTTGCTGAATTTAAAAAAAATTTCTTTAACATCCAAAAGTATACCACAAATTACAGGATGAAATAATGTTTTTAAACCATGCCTTTGCTCCAGCTTCTGTCCACTCCTTCGTGTGAAATTTTATGCATTGTTTAAATGTAATCTTTAATATTTATTTTTTAAGTTAACGATGTTTCTATGGACTCAAGCAATTTAAACTTGTGCCGTTAAATTTAATGTGACACTGTCATTGCTAGACATATTTCTATTTAATTATAATCGTAAGAATTTACTGCACATATCTGATTCCAAAAATGTTCTTCTCTTAAAAGTGAAATACACAATACAAGTTACAACTGTAAAATATTTGATAAACTGGTATCATAGAAAGTGGGGAAATAAAAATAGATATGATATACAGTAGTTCCAGTCAGCCACATTCACTTCAGGAGTGTAGGGCTGTCTCTTATACACATCTAGATGTGTATCTATTCCAATGAAAACTTAATAGTTATTTGAAGTATTTTAACCAACTTAGTTAAACTAATTTGTCCATCATGTAAGTAAATAAGAACATTAATTTACTAATTTATTAATTTGTTCTTTATACTGGTAAGTTGCCTTGGTATAACTTGCAACTGGAGCATCGCAGGTACAGTGCAGTACTGTAGCTTCTAGTAGTACTACAGTACTGTAGATCTCTGTGTGACCACTTGATGACACCCTACAGTCTGTCTTCTGATTATTAGTTAATAGTCTTGTGTTGCGTTCTCTAGAATTGTAGCCAACAAATACATATTGATCTTGTATGCCCGGCTGGTATCATCAATAAAAGATGTTCATTCAATGCAGTTTGAGGCTATACTGATGTGTTTTTATTTTATCGTTTTCACATTTTTTTTCAGCTTTTTTCTTCAGTTCTGTTTCAGCTTTCTTTCATTCTACAGTGTTGCCCAATTTTACATGTGTCACTTGTATCTGAAACAATTTGATAACTTTTTTGATAATTTTCAATTACTTAAACAGATATATTTGGAACAGCTTTGGAGTATGGTTTCCAATTTACTTTGTGTTGCTGGTAATGACGTGCATACTGTTTGGCTATATAGCGCTCTTACTGCTGTTCGGAATCATCAGCATATGTCTACAGGAAGACCTGCGTTTACACTTGATTCACAAGGTGACCTATTTATGTGACCTACATGTCCAATGATGTTTATGTGAAAAATAGGCAGTCGCTATATTTACACCACTTTTAAACAGCAGAGACTCCAGAAATTTGCAGACAAGGGGACCAAAATGCCCAACAGAGGGAGAATCTGAACTAAGGGGCCCACTATAGAGCCTTGGTCAGGGTCCCGGTATAAAAAAATCGCTGGGTAGGGTTCACACGGAGTTTAAAAGACTAGTATAGTCAAAATTGAGCTTGTAGAACACAGTCTTAGGGATCCAACGACCTTGTCGTGGCATTGGATGACAGGGAGGGGATTAAAACAATAATATCTAATCAGAAAACAGGAATTAAAACTCTTAAATCTGGTGTAATAATAGCCACTGCCTATTAATAATAAGTACAGTATAATTGTAATTGTAATATTATTATAGACATATCAGTCCGTAGTACAGAAACATAAAATAAATAATAACAGTCAAAGATATAAAACGTCTACATCACAGCTATCAGGGTTCCCAAGTCTCCCGGAACTCCCGGGAGTCTCTCGTAAATCGGTGTTCTCCCACACTCCCGCAAACAGCAAAAATCTCTCGGAAATTCACTTATCTCCGCCAAATTCAGTAAAAAACAAATCTTTTTGTTTTATTTAGGTCTAAACTTTGGTTGCCGATTATTTTTCGCAGTCTGATAGTGCCATTTCCGTGCTTCTAAAGGGGCCTAATTCTAAAAAATGTCATCACCTCAGCCCCAATCATGGTAGGCCTGAGGTGGACGTGGCCTCTCGTTTGGTACCTACAGTACACTTTTTCCGTCATAGAATATATAGCGCCCCTAAATGTCTTTAAACAAATGTCCCCGAAATGGGTTCTTCTAACTTGGGGACCCCTGAGCTAGTACAGTAGCTCATTCCATTTCTTAAATAAAAAAAATGCTTAAATAAATTATAATGAGTCGCTCAAGACTATTGCCAGAGTTTCCAAAAAATGTAAACATATTTCCTGAATAATTCATAAAATGAAGGAGGTCCTAAAGGATACCATTGGCACTGCAGAACTTGGGTATGTGTAAAACATCCTTATTAAGTGAGTTGTTATAACAGATCATGAATATTTTTACTTTTGTATTGATTGAATCATAAAATGCAATACAAAGTAGTTAAAAAAGGGCAAAAAATGTAACATTTTGTACACAGAGAACAATTGCTAAATCGCCAGCAAGTAATATTCCACCTAACAAATACGGACCTGTACTGCCTCATGATGTCATTATCATTCCTCATATCATTTTATGATATGACCTAGATAAGACACAGATGAAACAAAGGTTAACTTTTGATCAAGCAAGGTGATAAAGCTTCATGTTTATATTTCCTGTTTTGTGGTAAAGAACTCATGCAAACAGATTTCTTACTATTGTAATATAAAAAAAGTATGACCTGTTTTCATTTGATGTGTTACATTGGAAGTAAAATTAAAATTGTTTATTTTTTTTACATTTACTGTAAATCAGTGGTGGGCATAAAAATCGGTCTGAGGGCCAAAGTTAAGTTTTGATTTAACACTGTGGGATGCACCAAAACTTTGATGTTTCCAGTGTGCTTCGAAAACCTCCAAGCACTGCTTTTACACCACTTTATTCTCAGTTTCAATGTTACTTTTTACATATGATTGGTGTCGGAACGTAAAACCCAAGGTGTTTTCTAGCAAATTTTGTCTTGGCAGGCCACACACATAGGGTTTTTAATTCATAATTGTTGCGGGCTGCAAAAAAATGACTGCCGGGCCGCACTTTGCCCATCTGTACTTTAAATGATAAGTTAAAATCTGTCAATATATAATTATTTACAAAACAAAATCCGAGTTAGTGCTAGTTATTATTGTTATTATTATTAATATTGTTATTATTGTTGTTATTAATTATATATTATTATTGTTATTATTTAATATTATTATTATTATTATTATTGTTATTATTAATATTATTATTAGATTCGTCATCAATATCACTATTACGGAAGTAAAAATTAAAGGTGCTGTTCATGTGTGTCTTTGTGTAAGCTACTGTAAGCCTATTTAGTTTACATGTAAATAAATAATTATAGTTTCCTGTAAAACCTTTTTACTCTGTTGATTAAAATTAAATTAAAATCTTAATTAGTAGCTTTTCCTTCTTTTTCTCCCCTAAATAACACTTGAACATAAATAGCAATTTATCAATACTGTTTAAGGTCTTGTTATTTTAATAGTTTTATTTTGTGGTTGGCTTGATGAAGCCAGTTGTTTTGAAAAGCAACTTTACAATTCAATTTGTATTTCAATGATAGCAACCAGAATCAGAATCTTTACTTTCCACCTAATACAAAAACACATTTACAATAAGCATAGTAGGAAACAACATAGCCGAGATATGAGTGGGGGAGGCTAAGTAAGTTAGCAGTGCAATGCACAACTATACCTTTAAGCTATAGCCCCCCCTCCCCTGAATAAAAATAATTTAAAAAAAATAAATGATAAAAACAATAATAATGATAATAACAAAACAATGTCATAATAATAATAATAAATTTAAATTTCCAAATTTTCAAGTAAAAAGATTATAGTATTGTGTGTATTTTAACCTTACCTGTAGTATATATATATATATATATATGTAATATAATATAATAATATATATACAGTACTCTCTTGATCTTAGATACATTTTCTTTTGTTTTCTTTTTTTTGCTTCCATAGGTTCTTACTTGCCTTGTATTTGTGAGTAACATTACAATATTGGTATTAGCTACAGTGCTTGATCCAGGTCTTTGGATTCTTGTTAGTCGCTATTTGCAAGTAAGTATTTAGAATGTTTGTTACAGCATGCTATTACTGTAATGAATGTGCAGTGCATTCAGTATGTGCAGGAATTTGGCTGTTTTCAAAAAAACAATAAAATGATAAAATAAATAATTTATAAATAGATATCTAAATCGTCTCTGATTAGTTTTAGGATAGTCATGGATTAAACTGCTTGCGCTTTTTTTCCCCATATTCTACAAGCACTTCGAGGCAACTTGTAATTGTGTAAGGCGCTGTACAAATTGATTTCCATTTTATTTCCATTTCTAAAAACATCAAAACTTCCAACAGGGTTTTGACTGTGGACCTTGCTTGCTCCAGACCATGCCATTAAGGCCCAATAGCTATGCTGCCCCAGGCTACAGGGCTGCTTTCTGCAGCTCTGGGTCCTAATAGTAAGCCCACGTCATGGGATAGGTATGGTAGGTTTTGGTTGATCTCAATAGAGTATTTCAGTTTGGGTACAGTATATTAACACTGCCAACTCCAATTCATTTTACTACATATTCCAATTTTATTTTAGGATTAAAGATTCTGCCAGTATTTAGGAGACAATTTTAAATGAATTATTAATCCATAAATTGATCTTTCATCTCTTCAGTTTTCTGGTCCATTCTTGCATCTTATAGCTGTTGTTTTTGTCACCATAGTAACTTGGTTTGTTGCAGCTGGGCTGGGTGTGCTCTGTGATCGAGGTAAATATTCATATCATAATTTCTATTTTTTGTTGTATAACATTTCCTGCTGTGTAGGGGATTTTAATCCACAGAACAAATACTGTTGGTGTAGGTTCACACAAGATTCTTAATATCCAGATCGAGAGGTACAGTAACCATTATCACGAACCATTAGGATGCGTGTGAAAACACCCGGTCAGTTAGCTCGAACTGTTTCCGGGAAGTAAATACACTATTAGTGAGCGCTATCATTACCGTATTAGATGTATGCATTTCCAATGGGGAGGGGGGTATTTTCCCATAGTTCAACTGCATTGTTTTTCGTGCATGTTGTTTACATATCTTTTGATCACTGCTGCCTGTTGCTCTTTAGCTTTTTAGTGATATTTTGGTTTTTGTTTTTTTTATGGCAACTCGTCATACTGTATGTGGTCAAAATGACGTCAACTTCTTGATATCTAGATCGAGGATTTTCTTGTATGAATGCAACGGTGAGCGTGTGCTATTAATCTGGATCCTGCTAACTGTTGGATGGTGTGTGTGAACATAGTCTTAATGAGATTAAGTTGATGGTGTGAGTCACTCTCACTTAGTAGTTAGCTTTCCTTTGGACTTGTACACATACAGTAGTTTATGGTTGTTGGTGATTTAATACTCTTGACTGTTATTTTATTTATAACACTTAGGCAATCCTACTTCATTGGTTTCTTGTATTGTTCTGTTCTGTGTCACAAAAGTGAAATAAATTATATGATATACAAACCAGATGAAATTCTTTGAAAACATGTAGATACTGAAAACTATTAAAATAAAATGAAATTACTCTTTGTGATTTCTCCAGAACCATTTTTTTATGGCTCCAATGTTAAATACATGCCATTTAGAATTTTATATTTTATTTTATTTTTATCATAATGGATGGAATTCATTAACATTTATTTTTCAGCTGCATTTTCATTTTTGGAAAATTTAGAAGTTCAGTATGAATTGGTTGGAAACAAAGACATTCAGTCGTCGCAAACTAATGAAAATAATAAGAATAAGAATAAGATAAGTGAGTAGACATACAGTACATGTACATTCTTTCGCATTCCCTTTCGCTATGGTTCAGTACTGTAGACCCGGTGGTTTTTCATGATTTTTGACTCTCTGAGCTATGCTAATCATTGTCACATGCATACACCACATATTATTCAATTACAAATGACATTTGTATTACTGTGTGTGTTTCTGTTTCTATTTGCATTAGTAGTGAATTCTTTGTATGATCACTTTAGAAAAGTTTTGCATCCAGTGCCTTTTACTGTTGTAACAATTTCATTAACCACTATTTTAATAATTCAGTTAAACACAAATGTAACGACGTATGATAGAAGTTTCCAAGCCGAAAAGTATGTACATTGTCCTATTAAACATTACATTAATGATGGTTGTGGCATTTTTTAGATAATTTTATAATTTTTTATTTTTTTTTTGTCTTTCATGGGTGTTACCCACCGTTATTTGTCCTTTTTTCATGGTTTTCATTTTTTTCCCTTTTTTTTTTTTGCATTTTCATTCTGATAAACAAATGTATATGTTTATAATTCAATAAAAGCAAAATTAAAAAAAGAAGAAAAGATTTATTGCATTTCATAAAATAATAATTTTTTTTAATGAGAAAATTGCACATCTCCGGTTATTAATCCACTTTAGGGGGCGATGTCATATGTATATATATTATATATACCTACACATACATATATATGTACATATACATATGCATACGCATACATACATATACACTACACATACATACTGTAATTATCAATTATTTATTTTGTTTTCCTCCTTTTCATTTTCTATAACCTAAATCACTGTATCTTTTCTACCAGCATTTTTTTTATAGTATCTTATTTTTACGAGTTTTAATTATTTTTCTTAATTTATTTTTCCATTTTTTTAAAATACATTTTCACTTATATACATATGGGTAATCATTCATCATCAGAACATTTTCATAATCTCTAATAATTGTGTGTTACAAACAGTCTAAAGAAAAATTAAAAGAAAATTAACTTAGCTTAACAAATGAAGGATTTTTCAAAGGGAAAATTCAATTTCTTTTTCTTTAGGCATTATTATTGTACATCTTTCAATCTTTGTATCTATGTTTTTTTGTTTTTTTTTATGTACATTTCATTATCATTTCTTTATTTTTCTTTTTTTTTAATTGCAAAAATAGTGCCACTTTTCTATACCCTTTCCACTATTTATATACATTGTATCTCAAGGTATTCTTTTTCTACACTCAATCGTTCATTCTCTGTTAATATTTTTATACACATTTTCATTATTTTCCCACTTTTTTCATTTTCGTTTTAGTATACATTTTTATTTTATATACACGTAGGTAATCATTACCTGTCTCATTCAAGATCTTTATAATGACCAGCCAGTATATGCTATAACAACATCAAGAAAACAATAATATAAAGAATTATTAATTTACATCTTTATATCTTTCTCTGTTTCTATTTTTTATTATACATTTCATTATTTCTTTATATATATATTCCTTTTTTTCGGTTGCTAAAATAGTGTTTTGTATCTTTTTACACTTTTCTATCTTTGAAAATTTTTTAATTTTTTATATAGAGGTTGAAGGACAGATTTTAAAAATGGTTGGGACAATATTTTTGAAATGTTTACTGTAATGTAAATAATGAAACAATGACAAATTTTCGACTTACAGTATGTACTATCGACTTGGGCGAGGTGGACTGGGTAAATAATAATTGGAAAATGTAGCTTGTACGTCCCACCCCTTCCCAAAAAGAAGCAACTAATCATTTTTCATGATGTAACTTTTTGGTCGTGTTATATGTGAGCTATGTTCCTGCCTAATTTTAATAATCTTATCAATCCCGGGAGAGATTCACGACAGTGCATCCATGAGAGTAGATTTTGAGTTGACAATACATTTTGACAAGACGGCTATGTAGAAGTATTTTACCACTATGCGAAATGCGCTTTACCAAATTCTGTCTTTCCTTTTGACTCTCGGAAATGTTTTGGCCATCCAAATTTGGGTCGCAACCCATACAATAGTTTGAGGAGTAGGGCTGTAATTCGAAGTGAGCATGCCTTGATATACACTGAACAAACACAGGACAATTACATTTTCAGCAGTCATAAGGATGAATTACTAATTATAGAATGAAAATTTAAGAAATAGAATTTCCTATGTTTTCGTAGTAAACTAAAAATCAGGTAAGATGGGGTTTACAATTGTTCTCAAGACTGATGGGGATTTGTAAGCTTGTTATAAGCTAATAAATTTCATGGTAGTTCACTCAGACTTCACAATCTGTTCTCCATTCTGCCTTTACATGTTCATACAAAATATAATTGCTCAGCTGTTTATTTGGAATACTAAATATGCAGCTCTTTAATATTTTATAGCATAAGGTTTCAGCCCTAGATGCGATTATTCCATGACTTTTAAACTTAAATAAATTATTCATTAAAATATATGGTACATTGTGGTGGCATTATCAACTCACTCAGTGTTCTTCTGATTCATATTTAGCTATTATTTTACCCCTAAAAATAGACAGCTGACCAGTAAAAATTGTGTGTTTCATGGTAAAATCAATACTACTGATAAGGCCTAGGTAGCCTAGGCCAGCCTTCTTTCAGTTAAAATAACCATCATTCTAGTCTTGCCCTAGCATACGACTCTATATTGTTTTCTCAAGTCACAAAAGGGTTAATGTCTTGTGCGCTCAGCTAGCTTTTTATGGACAACTTTATCAGTAAAAATATTTCAATTGGGAGAATATTGCTCCTATTAACTATATATACAAAAAAAATAAAAACAATATTCCATCTTTACTGAGATTTTAATTAATATTATTTCTTTTTTTAGGAGTTACAGTTCGTGATATCACACTGATTTACTTTGTTCTAATCATTGGGTTGTATATTGCTCCAATTTTTATCAAATCTCCTTGTATTATGGATTATAATGAATTGCCAGAAAAGCCTCTCATATTTGCACATAAAGGAGCAGAAATGGTAAGACTTTGTAATAATAAATTGTATGTTACTTATTCCTATAGATTTTGTTGTTTCTAGCTTGTTTATCGTCATTGCTTCTTGTTGATGTGTTGCCCACTCCTGTTGTTGTTATTGTTACCTGTTTTTGTTGCTTCCATTGCTGTTGCTGTTATTGCTATGTTGATGTCATTTGCTGCTAATATGGATTAATTGTTGCTACTACTGTTGTTGTTGACACTCATGTTGTTGCTGCCTGTAGTTTGTATTGTTGTTGTTGCTAGCTTAAATTATTGCTGTTCTTGCTGTTTTATTGCTTTTGTTGTTATCACGCAACTATTTTACTTCTTCCACTGAGTCTGTTGCTATTGCAACAATGTTGCTGCTACTGTTAATGTTTCTGCTGTTATTAATGTTGTCATTGTTGTTGATGTTGTCATTATTGTTGATTTTGTCATTGTTGTTGATGTCATTGTTTATTTTATCATTGTTGTTGATGTTGTCATTGTTTATTTTGTCATTGTTGTTGATTTTGTCGTTGTTGTTGTCATTGCTGTACATAAGTATTTAAACATAATGTCGCATATACATTGTATTTTTAGCCCCTGCTAATTGTAGAATTTTGTGACATCATAAAAAGCATTTTTCTATATGAAGGTTGCACCAGAAAATACTGATATTGCATTTCGATTAGCATTAGATGAATATGGAGCTCATGGAATTGAATCAGATGTTAGAATAAGGTAATGTGAATTTCTAATCCTTTTGTTTTTCTTAATATCTTGCATATTTTAACATTTACAGTACCATCCAGATATTATCTGCCCTTGCCTGCGTAATTTCCGCGAAAAATAATCGAGGAAAATTTGAGCGCCCGTATTCTGCGAGTGGTCCATTACATCATTGTTTAGCACCTACTTCCTGGTAAAAGACGGAGTTCGCAGTATAAGCGAGGTCCACGTTGGTCAGCGAGTCAGAAAAGTTGAAGGTAAAGTATTACGTAATTCGTGGCACGCCCGATCTCCCTATTGTTAGGCGGCAATGAGCGAGTTGGTTTGATGTAAAGTTATTTCGCTAATAGTCGGTAGTGCAAGTAATAAAATTGAAAGAATACTGTACATAGGCCTATACATATTTTTTTTTCCAGAATATAAAATATCAATCTCCACCTTATAAAGAAACAAAAATTCAGCTTTTTATACATTCTTTATTTATGGAATCATCTTCCTTCAAAAAGATATTATTGATAATCGCAAAAAAGTATAATTAGACTTGTAAAACCGCTCATATCGAAGTGCAGTATGTTTCAATTTATTTACAATGTTACCCTTTATTTTGTTTGTTTATTAATATTTCTCCACATACACATAAATTAGAAGTACTGTAATAATTCATACGGAAAAAAAAGTATGTGGATGGTGGCCAAAATAAGTTTGAAAATAAACTATTAACTCTGTAGGATCGAATCAGCTATCAGCAAGGTCGCTTTAGATCAACTGAAAAATGAAATGAAATTTCTGAACTTGTAAAAACATACTGTATTTAATTTTGTAAATTTGAAACAAAAGGCTATGAGCAGAATATTTTAAAACCACGTTTTAAATTTTATTACAGATAAATCATAGGCCTACCTTACATCTAAACAAGGATTACGTGAATGGCGGGTACTTATTGTAGTACTGTACATTTGTGCTTAAAAAATCAAAATACGGTCTTAATTTTATTTATAGTTATTTTTATTTACTTTTATTTACATCGGAAAACAAATAGGCCTATATACAGTATTGTAGTGTAATATAAAAAAGTTGGGTTAACAGATGGATTTTTTTTTATATTCTGAGGTTGTCTTCCACCGACTTGGTGGAAGACAACCTTACTCCCCGACTTGTGCTCCAAGTACATACGACACATTCATAAAGTCATACCCGTCGTCATAGAAAGAAATGGAAGAGCTTCCGGATATTGAGGACCCATCAAACTACCACTTCGAATTATCAAAACAAACGGCTCTTTTCAGAGCCACCATATGAATAAAAGAGATTTGAAAGTATTTATGATAAAACACAAGGAACATCACAGAATCCCCCATTTCCTGCTACAATTCTCAACTTGTGGAACGTAAATTATTTTGTAAATTTTAAATAAAGGCTATGACCAGAATATTTTAAGCCAAGTTTTTCACTTTTATTACTGATAAATCATTACATTAAAACAAGAATTACCTGGATGACGAGTACTTAGTACAAATACTCGGTTGTGCCTAATACAATTCGTATCGAAATACGGTCTTAAATTATTTATATAGAGTAGTTATTCTGTATTCACTTTATCTTTGTAGGATAGGAAAACAAATACTGTATATACTGTACTGTGTATAATTTCCAGTAAAATAATTATTACAACTTCAAAAAAACTCGTGTTTTATAGCATAAATAAATTTCACAAGTTTTTGTTCTAAAATATAGCGGTATCAATATTCCCTCTATAACGGTACAAGCCACCGAGAAACAGATATCGAACATCAAGTTTCACCAGCCCACGTGTGTTTTGTTGCGACATCATAAATGAAGATGCTCACGTGACCTGAAAGACCGAAAACTCTCGAAAAGTAGTTTGTTATTGTTTTGAGAGAAGCGGTTTCGAACAGATACAGCGTATTTCAAAATTGAAAAATTATGAAATACCCAAACCATTGCTTGAATGTCGTAGAAAATTTAGTAGGAATCTTAGCACAGCACTGTAGTGAGTATAATTACAAATACTAGGCCTTTAAACCGGTCCTACCCTAGGCTAATTAATTGGACTGGGATGGGCCCAAGCTAGACAGACGGCGCCTGATTTTTTCGCCGTGGCTTGAGATCTGAACCTTTTGGGAGTCTATAGGTTAATATACAGTACGGTAATTTTTACTATATAAATTCAATTCAATTTATATTTCTGTACACATATTTAATTTTCATACGAACCGGAACACAGTTAAAATAATGTTCAAATGTCTGTGTGTGTCTACCAGCATATCGATGAAAGTACAAAGTTTATTCCCAGTTGCATTGTTCCGTAATAACGACAGGCTCTGTCTTTTGTCTAGCTGATAAACAACACATACCAATTTTTTGAACGTAAAAATCCCTAGGCAGTTCGTTGAAGATAAGAATTACTTAATGCCTTAACGGTTGACTGAATATGGGTGGTCTTATTACTAACTAATTATCGCTCGAATTTCGTCGGCGGTAAAAACGCAAGTGGATGGTTAATGATTTCTTGATGGTACTGTATAATAAATAAATAATAAATTCGAGAATTTGTATAGCGCCTGTTAGAAAAAATTATATGTCACTGGCGCTTAAAGATAAAAGAGTTATTGATTAAAGAGATCTTGAATTCATTAGTATCAGAAGTTAATCTAAGATTAGGTGGAAGAGAGTTCCATAATTTCGGAGCAGCAAAAGAGATAGACCGTTCGCCAGTACGAACATGCAACACTCTGGGGACAGATAACCTGAGAGAATTTGACTGCCTTGTGGAACGTGAAGATAATTGTTTTGAGATTGATGAAGAAAAATAGTGTGGGCGTAGCCATATATGCATTTATGAGTGAGAAGAATAATTTTGATGTTTAGACGTTTACTTATCGGTACCCAATGAAGGTCTTTCAAGATAGGTGAAACATGATCACAAAGTTTAGTAAGACAGACAACACGTGCTGAGTTCTGAAGCTTTTGTAAGGGTCTTAATAATTGAATAGTAGAGGTCCCATACAATAAAGAGTTACAGTGTATTGTGAACCTGTAGTCAGGGCTATGCCATATATGTTTCAAAAATGTCTTCATGGTAAATAGTAGTATGAAAAAAGACATGATTGTGGGTTGAAGAATTGGTGGGTATCGCCATTGGTATTAACCAAAGATCTTATAATTACAAGATAGCGCTCTCTGCCTTAAACTAGTCATCATCAGTGGCGTATCTAGTCTTGAAATGGGGGTGTGCAGAGGTGAAGCAATGAGGATCAGCTGAGGGGCACTAATTCGCAAAATAAGAGATTTTAGTTGATTTTTTAACTACTTGACTAGGATTTTTTTTGTGGGGGGGGGGGAGTGCGACTGGAGGGGCGTGAGTAATTTTTGGAGGGGCGTGCACACCCCATAGATCACATTACCAATATATAGACATAGTTCATTTATTATGCCATAAAAATACTGTTGTCATGTGGCACGATTGTCCAAAAGCAGAAGATTGATCTACTGTACTATCGATTGGCTCTCCTCACGACAACGACGAATAATATAAAATATGGAAACAAATATACACAAATTCAAATATCATAAACATTGAAATAGAGTATTTTTATACTCATGACAAAACAGTATATGATTTTGACTTTAATTTAACATTTCAGTCGTGACGGTGTTCCATATGTAATGCACGACGAGCTATTGCGACGTACCACAAATGTGAAAGACATCTTTCCTAACCGCTACGTGGAGCCTGCTGATAATTTCACTATCAAGGAACTAAAAGAACTTAATGCAGGATCCTGGTTTATGGAGGTATGTTAAATTGAAGGGAAGGAAAAGGAAAAAAGTGTAAGGGGAAATAAAATATGGCTAAGAGGAGAGAAAACATAAGAGAAAATAATGAATAATAGGAAGAAAGGTGGTGCCACAGAATATTGGAAGTACAGAGAATGATTAAAGAATTTATGAAGATATTAAGCCGGACACTCACTGCGACGTACGACCGTCGCACGACGAAACCACATTTGCTTCCGGCGAGCGATAGACGACGAAACATCGTTTGCTGATTGTCAGTGGCAATCTGAACGGATCTTCATTAAGAAGACGATCCGTTGGGTCCCCGTCTTTGTGTGCATTCTTTGTCGTGTCGCCGTCACACGCGGTGAGTAATCGGCATTAGGGAAAAAAGTACAGTACAGACCATGCAATACAAATATTCACTAATGTCTATAGATTATTGGTAGTTTCATTTGTCTTCCATTTTTCAAATTCCTTTGACTCAGAAAGATCCTTTCATGACAGCAAGGCTATTGTCAGCGGAGCAGAAGGTGCAGTATAGGTCGCAGAAAATACCCACAATGCAGGAAATGTTTAGTATTGCTCGGCAGCGCAATAGGACTTTGCTGTTTGATATAAGACCGCCCCCTGCTGGTCATCCATTCACAGAATCGTGGCTGAATGTAACGTTGGATGCCGTACGAGCTGAGGGGATAGCAAACAAAGACTTGGTATGTAACTTTAAGCTATACAGAAGTTTAATATATCGGACACCAAATTATTTTAAAAGGCAATTGCTGTTTTTGGTTTTTGTCCCCTTTATTCACTTAATATAGCACCCTCTATGTACAGTATTAATCAAACTCAAGCACCCGCCTTTATGTTTAATTACCTGATATAGTGCCCTCTGTGTATTTAATCACGCAATATGCCGTTTGTATTCACATTTTAATGACGAATTCAATTCATTTTATGAATTGTTGGGTATAATCCACTTGTACGTTTTATTTTTTGATGACGACAGTGATGATTACAACAGTGGTGGCTATAGTAATACAATAGAACTTCTCTTTTGGGATACCCCTATTAAGGGGACACCTTTTCAGGTCGCGAAAGTGTCTCCTTATCGCCTTCTGTTGCTATGGTGGTAGTGGTTGGTAGTTTGTATTTTTATAAGACATTGATTTAGTTTATAGCTTGTAAAGCAATCCTCAGACCCTGTTTCGATGTTATGTATTTTACATTGAATGTTCCAAGTGTTTCATGTTTTCAAGTTACTGTATGTTTTTATTGTTTAAACCTGGAAATACATTGAAAAAAAAAATACTGTACAATGATTGGGATGATAGCAAAAAGGATAATAGTAAAGTTGTGTTTATAGTCATCCTGATAATGATATAGTATGGTGGTAATTATGGTGTTTGCATTGGCAAAGATGGGTATGATGACAGTGGTAATGATTGTAGTTGTAATGTTTATTGGGTTGGTGGGGTTGGGTTGGTAGCATATTGGTAACATCGTCCTCGTTGAGGAGAATCTTCATGATAATGGTGGTAAAGATCTTGTTGTCTTGGCAGCATTGGTAGGAAGTATTGAGATGATGGTGATTTTTGTGGTGATGTTTATCATCTGATCATGTTGGTAATTGTATATGTTAGTGGTCGTCGTGGTAGCATTGGCAGTAGCATGGTCATGGTATGTGTTGATGGTTGTGGTGTTGATGATGGTTGTGGTGTTGATGTTTGTGGTGTTGATGGTCGTGGTATGGTATAATTGATGGCTTTTGTTAATTTTTGTGGTGATGATGTTTATCATCTGATCATGTTGGTAATCGTATATGTTAGTGGTCGTCGTGCCAGCATTGGCAGTAGCATGGTCATGATATGTGTTGATGGTTGTGGTGTTGATGTTTGTGGTGTTGATGGTTGTGGTATTGATAGTTGTGGTATGGTAGTGTTATAATTGATGGCTTTTGTTAATTTTTGTGGTGATGATGTTTATCGTCTGATTATGTTGGTAATCGTATGTAAGTGGTGGTCGTGGTAGCATTGGTAGTAGCATAGTCATGATGGTGTTGATGGTTGGGTGTTGATGGTTGTGGTATGGTAGTGTTATAATTGATGGCTTTTTGTGTATAAGAGACAGGTTTAGTATTGCTCGGCAGCGCAATAGGACTTTGCTGTTTGATATAAGACCGCCCCCTGCTGGTCATCCATTCACAGAATCGTGGCTGAATGTAACGTTGGATGCCGTACGAGCTGAGGGGATAGCAAACAAAGACTTGGTATGTAACTTTAAGCTATACAGAAGATTCTCCATCTATTTGCAGGTATTTTGGAAAGCCCCAAATGGACCTCACTATGTTGTTTTCATCAACACCTTTGATAAGAGAAAAATACAGAATGTTCATCACTCGATACCATTCAAGTACATAATGTAAGGACATTTTTGTTGTAAAAAAAGTTTTTATAATATCACTAAAGTGTTAATTATTCAAATTTCTGTCAATTTAAAAATTTATTTACACTTTCATATGTGTGATTACAATTTTGACAATATTTTTTATGAGATTGAAACCAAAATATTTGAATAATTAATTTTTAATGATATTTATAGAGGGTGACCCATCCAGCATATTCTAGAAGGTTGGCTGATATTCAGAGGCCATCATAAATGAAATAATGTGTTGTTTTTATCAACCTCTAGTGAGGTTTAGGCAGTGGAGTTGATTTTAGTCCTGAGAAAAAGTATTGCTGTTACAGGAATAGAACCCAGGACCATGGGATTAAAAGGCAAGCATCTTGACCACTGAGCCATTTAACTTCACTGCAACAGGATTTGAATTTTTTTTTTTTCTATTTCATCCATCAGTTCAAATGCAACGATGAATATTTCTACCAATGTCTGGAACGTGAAGGAGAAGTGGTTGTTTTCTTTATTTTGGTGCGTGGGGACCTCGTCCATCACGACGTCGGCGTGTCATTCATTGCAAGAACTTGATGCCCCATCATGGCAACTGGTATGATCAATAAAGCAATTTTTCATTAATTTTTTTGTAATAGCTGTGAAAGCAGAAATTCTTGGTGTAATTAACAACTGTATTTACCATAATTCCTCAGATATAAGTCCACCTACTGTAGGTTATAAGCCTATCCCCTACCTTATATCTAATTGCCAGTGCCAGCAATTCCCCTGGAAAAAGCCCAGAGTATGAATGCTAAGCTGATTACAAAAAATTATGAAAGTGTGGCTTTAAGTTAGGCATGGAGTTTTGAAAATTTGCCTTTTGATTGGACGGTAAATTTGTTTTAAATGAATAGACGATTCCCCGAGGAATAATTTCATGTTCAGGGGGTTAGTACTATACCAGAGGAGCCACGACAGTTTGATCCAGCCTTTTAGCCATTGCCTTTACTGTATTACCTTAATAAATATACTAGCCATGTTTCCACAACACTTGCACATAATATTTGTTTATTCAACAATATTTTATGAGGGTTGTCCATCCAGCCGTTATTGTTATTACCGTGACACAATGACACAAAATTATTTCTGTACATTAACCTGTAATATGATGTGTGCATTAATTTACATAGAGTCGTCAACACTATCTTATAATGTGGATCCTGTTTGATATTGCATCAGTTGTTTGGGTGGTTGTACTATTCATCATACAAATCAGGTAAGTACAATCTTTCTGAACATCTCAAACACCAGTTAGCAGATACGAAATGCCATTTAACAAAGTCAATGTATCAACTTAGTAATAGGTACCATGGGTGTCTCCAGGATGGAGTGCTGCCCCTTTTGGCGAGAAAAAAACTATTCATCAGAAAGAAAAAAAATTCATGTATTTTTTACATACAAAGTAAACTCTATAATTAATTAATATCTTTTGCAACCATTAAATTGTCCTAATTTCCGGTGTCTACGCCCCTGGACCGCTTCCGTCAGATTTTGAGCGGTGCCTGACTACGCCTACTTACATTCTCGTTGGGGACATCGGAGACACCAGTTCCCCATTGGGCAAATCCTGTCATGTCCTGTTAACCAATTGTCAGGTACCAAATATTAGATACCAGATACCAAATACCGAATACAAGTACCATCAAGTAATGTACCAGAACCTTTAACCAGTTGTAAGCTACCCACTACCGGCTACAAGATACCAAATGTGACCCAATATAAAAGGGCTGTAAACACATCCTAAGGCCAAAATGAGTTTTTGTTATGATGGCATAAAACATATCATTTAATTTAAAATGACAGTTAAATGAACTCAATTGGGTGTATGGAAGATATGACTGTTTAATCATCTTATCAACTTTCTTAAATCAAATTTTGAGAAAAATTTATTTTTCACTAACTCCCATCTGAAAATGGCCAAATTTGAACTTTTACAGTTGGATTTTAAACTCAAACTTCAGGAATAGTAAGATAAATTGTTATACTTAATTTATTACACAAAAACCAATTCACACAAAATTCATGTTCTACAGACTATTCTGGCTATTGAGGCTTGTTTTTTCAATACAGTGCAGTGCGAGTTTACAGCCCATTTATGATCTTGGGTTACAAATACGAAATGTGAGACACTAAACACTATAAAGAAAGATTAAGAACAGATATCTACATTTGTTCATTTGTTTCAAGTAGATAGTAACTGATTAATTTCACATTTGTTGTTTTCTCCAGCCGGAACCGCCAGAGTTCTGCTGTAAAAAGTGATCGGTACAAGTACACTGACTTTATTGCCCTTGAGGAAATGACTTCAAATACGGCATCAACAACGGTAAACAGCACTCATGTTTCAGAGACAGCAGCCAGTAAAACTTAGAGCACATTGGTGGAGCTGAAAGAAAAATAATACTGTAAATGAGGACTAAAGTACAGTGAAGAATGACACGATGGTAAAAAGCAGCTGTGACTGTGTTATGGTCAACAGTTATTGTAAAATGGTTAACAGTTGTCTACAAATTGATGATTAACAGTTGTGTGATGGCTAACACCTGTGTACTGTATGATGGCCAACTGGTGTGTGCATTATGTTTACTGCAAGAAAATATATTTCTATCAACTATGTTCTACAAAAAAATTCCATCCTTTATTCACTGCCCTGCCTTACACATGTGTACCTTGTGTTGAATATGCTTGCCCGCATAAACTGCCTTAGCTAACACTAGCGTACTGTATGATAGCCAACGCTTGTAATGTCAGTGGCATATCCAGGATTTTAAGGAGTGCTGAAAAGAGATATTACATTCACTGAACTTTACACAAGGCGTAAAACTAGTGACAGATGGTATGGATGGCTATGACTATACAATAAAAAAAAAAAGTGTCTTACTTTGCCATTTATTTCCAATAATTCATTATTGGAAATATATTATTCATAATATTATTTTTTTTTTCCCTGTGAATGTATGATGGTTAACAGATCTGTACAATAACACTGCAAGAAAGTCTACTGCTATCAACGTATGTCAGTGGAATAATAATAATAAAGGTCGGATAACACTGTAAATGCTGACCATGTTCTACAAAATAATTCATGCCCTTGTTTACTGCCTTTATTGTTTTGGGAGTGATTGTATATTTTTTTTCAACCCTTAAAAGAACTTTTATGTTGGCCTAGTAAAATATAACTGTATTCCACAGTGGATTCATTGGCAGGTGTTACAACCTCAGTCAAGGGAGAATATGGACTCATGAAGGGGCAGGAACTTTTAGTATGTTGCAATTGGCTTAATAAATCAATCAATAAGTCAATCATCATTTTTTATTTAAAAATTGATGTCCATATCATATATAATAAACGAGTAAAACAAACTAAATATACTATAGACCTACCTGGAAGAAAATGCCAACAGTGATAGTTTGAGGTGTGAGTGATGTGCTGTATCACTTTATAAGCAAATTATTCCATTTTGTCAAAAGCAGAGTTTATTGTACGTAAGACTAGTCTATTATCAGATGTATATAATTGTCCATGAATATATTTTCCTACATATTTCAAAAATAATAAGAAAAAAGAAGTCCCAAGTCCCATATTTAACTGTCCCAAGTTACATATTTTACAATGGTACCAAACATTTTATTTTAATCACAATCGGTGACCCGTAACAGTAAAATGAAAATGACTCACTTTTGGAGATTTACGCAATTTTGCACAACGAAGCTGAGATAATAGCGATTTCGTGAAAGTAAATCAATACCGCACAACGCTAATGTAAACAAACAAATAGCGAACTACTTACGGTCCAGACTGAATAATAATAATAATAATATTTATTGACATTACACTTTTACATCAGTGGCAGCACACAAGTAAGTGGTGCAGTCAAACTTAAACTAATGAACAAAGAGAATATAAAGAGAATATAGTGTTCAAATTGTCAGTACATGTTGGTAATTACACCATCTATCGGATTCCATCTATCGGATTCCAAAAACCTGAAACACGGAGATCTCCGTGTTTGGCGGTTGAGCGTTGCGTTGGCAAACACGGAGATCTCCGTGTTTGGCAGCCAGAGTGTTAATGTGAAACAAAATATACTCAACATCAGTGGCGGAGCTAGGATTTCCCTAACAGCAGGGCAACACCCCTGACAGGCAGTGGCATATCTAGGTGGCAAAGGTGAAGTTGGTGGGCGGCTCGATGATCAGTTGAGAGGGCGCTAACTTGCAAAAGAAGGTGATTTTATGTGATTTCTAACTACTTAACTGTGATTATATTTTTGGGGTGGGGGGGGCGCGCGAGTAATTTTTGGAGGGGCTTGCGCCGCCCCTGAAACCCTAAATACGCCACTGCCGATGGGCGGGGCAAGAGTTGTACTTTGGCACGTAGTATCATCCGAAGGCAGTACCCCCGAGCCGGGGTGAGGATTTGGGAAAAGGTGTCCCCTCCCCAATGAGAAATTTTTTTTTAATACTAAGCCACTAAACTCTCATACAGGGCATCTTGACCTAAGGATGGTGTTTTTTGTATCTCATCCGCATTTAAAGTATCAAGTTACATAGGCCTATTCCAGTTTAGCCCAACATTTGATATTAGCGATAGGTTGGGGTAAGGGGAAAAGCGCCCCACTTCTCAAAATTTTGGCGGAATTTTAAATAGAGGGGGCACAGATGGTAAATTCTACAGATGGAGGGATCAGGCGACGAAATACTGGAGGCTGAAATTTAATGTCTAATTCACATCTAGCTTGCCAGAAATTGACAATTTAATGTAGTTTTCTTTTTCCCACTTCTTTTTTTTCAAATTTTGAAAAATTTATAGGAGGCCCGGGCTGGCTGAATTACTATATTGAATCTACATTCTATACATCATTTCCTAATGTATTTGCATATAATAAAATGGGGGGAAAACGTTCATCAGTGTATGAAAAAGGCACAGCAGCATGCTTTATTTTATACGTAGATTGAGGTCCTTCGGGATTAGTACCCCCATGATGGGTCAATTCTATAAGTCAGTAATAGAGAGCATTCTAACTCTTTCTGTTATTATCTGGATGGGTACACCACGGAGAAGGAGAAGAAAATCGTGTAGTTAAGTCTGCATCCCGCATCATTGGAATCAAGCAGCCTTCGGTAGATGTAGTCCATCATGACCGTATGGTTAAAAAGGCAATGACGATTGCTGGGGACAGAAATCACCCGGCCAACCATTTGTTCACTCTGATGCGGAGTGGTCGCCGATATCAATCACTAGTGACCAGGAGGTATAGATCTCTACGTAGTTTCTATCCCTCCGCCATTAGGGCATTGAACAAGTCACTTCAGTAGTTTGAATTTTCGTATTTTATGTTTGTTTTTTTGTTAAGGAACCAGACCGAATTTCATTGTATGTGTATTGTACATGTATATATTGGTTTGGTACAATTTTAATTAAATTTAACTTGCCGAATTTGGCATGAAGAATTTTTGTTTATTATGCTTTAGGTGAAATGCATTTCTATAACTTGAATTGTGTCATCTTTTTTTTTTTTTAATTACGAGATTTGTTTGCTTTTGGTTTTTACCATTCACCCGATAAGCATTTTTTATGATTTAGTCAATGCATAGTTTATTAAAGGCAGATAGATGACAAATCTACAATGTGATAAGGTATAACTATAGGGCACTAAGAATCTGGGGCCACGGATTAAGCTNNNGGGGGGGGGGGTAAGGCGAGGTTGATTTTACAGCAGTCCAGAGGCCATACCCAGAAAATGTTTATTCAGATAATCAGAAAAAGTAGGAAGTATGATAGAGGACGATGTAGTCCAATAGCTAAATATAGTCCACTTGTACATGCTGTGCAATTTATTCAGACCTGTTTTTTCATGCAAGATTAATCTTGGTTTATTGCTTTCAAATTTCTGTTTATTATATCCTGTCGATCGTTTGGATCCATTATTCGTGATTTAATATTCCGTAGTTGTGTTAGCAGGGATGAATGTAGAAGACTGGAAAAACTTCTCAAAAGAAGCGGATCTCAGTTTCTTGAACAATTGCAAAACATTCAGCATTTCCCCAAATTTATCGCAAAATGTTAATGGACATAAATGTGAACTCAAGAAATTCCAATAATAGTAGGACATCTAAAGTAATGGTGCTATGATATATTTCTCCCATATCTGTACACTTGTCTGAACAGTAAATCGTGACAAACCTTTGTTCCCTAGGCGAAACATTTTATACTTTGTTTACAAACTTATTTTTTTTAAAGTGCATATCATACATCCTGCACCCTGATTTCTAAGTCGTTACTCTGTTCATGTTAATCTGTTTTGTACATCCAATAGAGAGCTTAGTATTTAAAAAATGAATACTTGGTTATTAACATTGCACTCAAATCATGAAACAATTTCGGGAACATTTACAACTTTTGTTGTGTTAATAATTTCATATCTTTATGAATTGTTTTTGCTTTGCAAATTATTATTATAAATTAGTATAATAATTCAACTGTAACTTATTCTTAGGCCAATTAAATTACAGTTCGCCCTCCAATTCGAGACCACCCTTGGGATCTGAAAATTTGGTGTGGTCTCGGGGTTGGTCTCCAATTGGAGGGTTATCTTTGTGTTAAAAGGTTGGAGATTGTTATTTGGGTCTTTGGAAATGTGGTCTCGGAATTAGAGGGGTCTCGGAATTAGAGCAGTCTCAAATTGGAGGGTGCACTGTATAAGCAACAGTTATCTAAGGTAATATCCAATCTATAGCTATTGGAAATACAAATATTTCACTTGTTTGCATAGTTAAGACTCCGGGCTCATGGTTTGACGTAAATGTGCCATGTCCGTTCATGTTAGTAAGGTCTGTTCAATTGGGTTTTATCATCTCCAAAATATCAAACGTATTAGCAAATACATGTCTCAGGTTACTTATAGCTTTTGTTCATGCTTTTATAACAAGTTGTCTTGACTATTGTAATGGGCTATTTTATGGACTGCCAAACTCACAATTGATCAAGTTAGGTCAAGACTTCAAAATGCTGCTGCTAGGCTAGTAACCAATTATACCCCAAGAAGGTCCCACATTACTCCAATTCTTGTTAATCTGCATTGTTTTACAAGTAAAAGCAGGGATTGAGTTTAAAATTTTACTTGTAACATTTAAGTGTATACATGGCTTTGCCCCAAAATATATGACCGACCTAGGCTAGTAACCAATACCCCAAGAAGGTCCCACATTACTCCAATTCTTGTTAATCTGCATTGTTTTACAAGTAAAAGCAGGGATTGAGTTTAAAATTTTACTTGTAACATTTAAGTGTATACATGGCTTTGCCCCAAAATATATGACCGACCTCATAACGATTAGGAAACGACAGGGGAATAACCATTAGATCTTCAAGGGCGGAGCTCAAATTTGAGTATTCCAAAGGAAGAATGCTGTCAACTCTTGGTGATCATGCTTTTGCTTCGGCTGCTTAAAATATATGAAACAAATCTGTTTAACCACAGATGTAAAAACTAAAAATATTTTGCCTGCAAATGCAAGAATAGGCTCTAACAGGAACGTGTGTCTTTTGCTACTGATGCTACTTTTAAATCATAACATAACCACCCTTTCTGTGTTGGTAAATCACTTGAATAACAAGTAACAGTAACAGATTGTTGACTTTTTAGTTCTTTCTAGGACAAAAAGCATGATATCATATTTTTAAATTTTACTTTTGGAAGACTTCATAAATTTTCAGCTTATGATGCATCCTATCATTCCTCCAACCGGATTTACTCTCACAGCTTATAAGTGCGACGATAGCGTGTCTACAGCCCCCCTTGGGCAGTAGACGCAAACATTGTTGTTTTAATTAGTCAATTTTTACCTTTGATCCTTATATTGGGATGCAATTATAATTTAATTTCCTATTTTAATGATGATTGGTTATCTAAAAGCATAAAACTATGGTGTAGGACCTAACACTGAATGCTGCTTCCATAATTGTTTATTATATTAAAAAAATATTACAATTAATTAATTTTGACCTTTGACCATGGTTTTGGCAGATAAAATTTATTAGCTAATTAATTAATAAATTTATTTGCTTCTTTTATAACAATTAAAAACATAAAACATAATAAAGTGATAAAACACTGAGTTCTTAGTTTCCTAATGGTTTAAGAACCGATAATGATTAATTTTAAAGTTGAACCGAGTTATTTGAATAGTAATATGAAATGGGGCTTAATGTAATTGGTGAAAATCAAGTGAATTGTAGTTGTTAGGTAATAAATTTAAAATGAATATTAGAATTTGTAATATGAATGAACTGTAATTATATTTCAGTTATATTTCTATTGTAATTTGGGAATATTATTTTTAATTATATATATCTATTGTATTGTAATGTATCTGAGTTGAACGACAACTCATCCACTACATAATGATTTTGCTCTTAACAACTCTGGTTACCGTCTAAATGTACCACTCACCAAACGTTGCCGTTATAGAAACTCCTTCGTTCCCAACTCCATTACCTCCATAATAATAATGTTAATCGATAATTATTGTGCATTTTGGCCTAATTTAATTATGTTTAATGTGTAATATTGCTTAGTAATGTAATTTATTTTGTTTGGTATCCGTAGTTATCTTTTATTTATTACTGTAGGCCTATATGTTTTTAAACATTTGTATACACTGCCAGTGGAAAGTAATTTCTGAGTTTTTCAGACAATAAAATTAAAGTGAATTTAGAATCTTAAATCTATTGCATATTTAAAATATATATGAAAAAAGTATATAAATAATTTAAAAACATTAACAAAATAATTAGAATGAACCTCTGGTGAATAGTTGAACTGTATGCTATATTTTTGTTATTGATAATTATTTTAAAGTATTATTTTCGACAAATCTATTAATAAATTGCTCTTAAATTATAATGTGAGTAATTAGGTAGAGTAATTAAACTGTATAGCGTATTGTTTTTGTAATTTATACTTGAATGGAATGCAATACTTTCTGATAAATCTTAAGGAATTGCTAATAAACTGTATTTTTTGTTTGACATAGTTAGAATACTAATAATTGATTAAATTGTAAATTGGATTTAATTTCTATTAGTGTAATTGATAATTAAATAATAATAATGTCAACTTATTAGGCACACATATCCATCTCTTGGCAGAGCTGTCTTGCGGCCCCATTTTCCACCTGCAGAGTAGCCCTTTTTCTGCATTATTTGCCACTTTTGGTTATCCTTGGAAGGTTTTTTGTTGTAATTTTCTTTATCCTCAAACGTAATGATTTTAAGTAAGTAAATAGTGTTGTAAATTGTGTTAATTGGTCAATACTTTGACTTCAAATATCAGCTATTCAAATCATATTGACTTTAATAAAATTATATATCTATGTAAAGAAAGTGATAATCCTCAGATTTGATGTTGAAAGTTTGTTCCACAGAGACTTCATTGTTGAACAATTCATATAACCGTCAGGTACGCCTAACAGGGACGTATCCAGGGGGGAGCCGCGGCTTTCCCCCTTTGTACACAGTGTTAAAATTTTAAAGCTTATTCTTTAGCCAATACAAATTCTTTCCTGGGATCACTCAAAGTGAATACTTCTAAACATGTCAATATGCATCAGTAACACGTTATACATACGCCTAATAGAACACATAGGCCTAAGCATGATTAAAAAAAAATCTTAAATCCATAAATCTCAGGTCAGGTCTTTTAAGATAGAAATGCGATACTGTGGTTCAATTTCGTTTTTATCCTTTTGCAAGTTTCTTTAAATATTTGTTTAATACTACTACTACTACTACTACTAATAATAATAATAATAAATTAATAATAACAATGATGATAATGACGATAGTAATAATTGATAATAATATTAATAGCAATAAAAAGTAAAGAAAATTGTTCTAAATGCGAAAAAAAGTTGTGATTTGTTGATCATAATATAGTATATAGTTAAAGCTTAGCAAGCTATAATTAGGCCTAAGTTGTTCTGGATATTAAGTAGATCCCTGATAAAAGATCATGAGAAATTTTTTGGCGCTCCATTTTGACTATAATGGCAATGTGATGATGATGAATTTTACTATATAAAAGTGTCATTTCCGGCCATCTCGAGGTACTATTTCTCAAATTCTCTCACATCAGCCCCAGCCATGGTGGGGCTGAGTTGGTTGTGAAATCACGTTTTTGAAGTAGGCCTATGTAAAATACATACTAAAAGACAATGTTTTTAAGCTCGGTTTTATATGGTATATCACACACACATTAATAAGATGTCTATGGTTGTCAAAAATCCCTGATAAAAGAACATGAGAATTTTTTTGGCGCTTCATTTTGACTAATGGTGATGTGATGATGATGAATTTTACTAAAAGTGTCATTTCTGGCCATCTAGAGGTACTTGAGCAGAGGTGGATTCAAGGCCCCCCCCCCCTAATTTTTTTAAGGAAAAAAAAAAGAAAAACATATTCAAATTGTGCGAGTGTATTTCCGCCCATCTAGAAATGCCCTAATCATTTCTTACCTCAGCCCCAACCATGGTGGGGCTGAGGTGGGTGGTTCCTCGGTCTGTGAAAGTCCCTCCCTGGTTCACCTCTCTTTCGAATTCCTGGATCTGCCACTGTTGATTTATTATATAATTATTTTTGCGCTTATTTATAATGCGTCTATTGCAATTTTCACTTTATCCTCTCAAAC